CATTGATCAAATTTTAAGAAGTAGTTCAACAACTTTTCAGAACTTTCGTACATCAATTTGAGCTAAGAAGCGAGTGCCTCGACCCTGTAAAAGAACTATTAATTCTTGCCGGAATTCTTTAGATCAGTAATTATCGTTATTATACACATGACCTAGTGGATTAATGGCAATGGCAACATTAGCCGTTTCCCTATAAGGAAACATTTAGCATTCACTGATCAAATAGCCAGTACTGTTTCCGGATGAAATTTATAAAATCATTGCTTTAAAACAATTTTTCAGGAAAATAGGTTTCTTAAGTCCAGTAGCTGTTATCGCTCTTTCTAGTATTGATGGAGGTTTCCTCTGTAAACTTTTATTTCAAGTGGTGTGTAATGTTAACATCTTATGTTATCATGTTCTCTTCGTGTTATGTGTGCTATCCATTATAGTTTTTGCTGCTGTTGGTAGTCCTCAAATGATGTGATTTCTGTTATTTGGTACAGTTCTATGTTTGTGATTCTGTAGCGCCAGTCCACAATGTTCAAAGCAGGACGGTCATTGCCAAGACCCTCAAGTTTCACTTGTTCAAAGCCATTTTTAACCATTAATCTTAGAAAGCTGTTGTGTACAATTGGCAGTTTAGATATTTTTGAATGAGTTTAGTGCCATGCATGAAATACATATGATAGTTTGAGGTTATTAAAGAACATGTCTGGAGTTTTCAGGTTGATATTTTGGTTTCGTAGCAATTTGCAGTGTTAGGGGAAACTACCTTTTGGGCCGCCTATTCTATGTTCAATTTCCTTTGCTTCTTGCCCGTACCGATCCTTCAGTATCTGGCTATATTTCTGAGATGAGGTATTATGTACACTATTTACATTATTATTATGTTAGGCCACAAAAATCTCCTGAGCCGACCCAGCATAGAAATGAATACAACATTGGAACCAGTAATAAGGAGTGTTAGAGAAAAGCGATAATAACAACAAAAATTGCAATATGAGTTCTGGTAAAAACATGTAACAATTACAGCAAAATTGCAATATGAGAACTGGTAAAAAAAAATGGTTGCTGAAGACATTAGGTTTATAATACCCAGAAATTCATACACAAATGTTCCCATGGCACAGTGGATAAAGGCGTTAGTTAGATCCAGTGACAGGATCCAAAGTGAATGAGTTCAGAACCTGGTTAAGGCGGTGGAGAACTTGGTGTGGGGAATTAACAGGAGATAACTGATAACTGACATCCATTAGACATGGCATGTGAAACAGTCTACTCGAGTGAGCGAAATTAAGGGTTCAGTTCGACATTCCAACCATCTGAAGAATATATACGAGAACATTATTGCAATAATAAAAAGGATGGAGCGTACAACAGCCGAAATGTAATAAATATGGCGACAAAGATAAGGACAATAGTCCGAATAATGTAAATAATGTACATAATACCTCATCTTAATACAAAACAAAATAATAATTAGATAAAACTTGAAGAAGAAATTTAATCTATAACCTGTAATGATTTCCACAAGGAATACATAGGAAAAACCACAAGGAATTTAAATAAAAGATTATATGAACATAAAAGGAATCTTCTACAAAACAACACACTCAATGCATTAGTTGCTCACAGTAATGAGTCTGACTGTAATTTCGATTTAAATAATGCTACTTTAATTTAAAGGTAAAGCAGTTTACTAAGGTGAAAGTGTATTGAAAGTCCTTTGGTCGTTAGATCACCCACAATAACTTTAAGCCTAGTTTTTTACGACTTTTCACCTTTCTTGGCAGATCTTCTTTTATCACAATGTGGGATAATAACAATAAAAGCGATAAATACAAAAACAATAGCATAAAGAAACTGAATGAAATTGGCTAGACTACATAGATAGACACATCTAAAGAATTTAAAGTTTAAAATTTCAGGGTTTCCAATAATTTCAGCGTTTTCTGTCCGTGCATAATTAGAACCAACGTTTGCGTTCTTATATTCCCTCTCCTTCCTATACATATATAATCCCCCCCCCAAAAAAAAAACACTACTTTAGTCCGTTGAAAGCCTAAAGGACGAAACGTGTCACAGAGAATTATTTTCCACTTAGTCATTAAGCTACCTAAACATCGTTCTGATATATAAGAATTATATATCTTATTCTCCCATTATATAAGTCATGTTCTCATTTTCATTCCAGTAGGAGTAAAGAACAATATAAATAAAGAAACTATAACCACGTTGCATAGCATTTATCTCAACGGATCTTTTTATTGCTCGTATTTTATTGGTCCCTAGAATTTACATACTTAATGTTTTGGATAAACACGACGCATCTCTCACAGAAGATATCTCCGAGCGACTTTCCGACCAGAGACTTTGTTTCAACACACCAATAACTTCACAAGTAATACCAATGAGAAGGTAGCATTGTCCAATTTTATGTCAAGCGATCATAAAACTGTAAATGTAAGACGTATAATCACTGGGTAATGATTTTTACTCTATAATAAAATGCTGCGGGAAGTACAATTTAAGACCTACGAAAAGTCGTTTTCACTCCATGTCGTCTGATGTTGAAAGATATAGATTATTGTGATAATATAACTTGCTCTTATTGCAACGAAGGCAGGAGTTATTAAACAAATACGTTGAGGCATTCGTTCACTCTAATGAGAACATTAGATTGATACAGAAGTTTCCAGCATTTTTTAACATTTTTATTCATTTAAAATAATCGTATCGCTATACATTCTTCAAAATATTTTCTCTAAGTCATTTTTTGGTTAAATTGTAGAGTTACAAGCAAAATAAAACAGAACTTTTTAGGAAAATAATTTCTATTCATGTTCGCAACCTTAAAACTTCACTTGAATATTGTAAATTCTTCGGTTATGCTACGTATCAGAAGAAAAGAACTAAAAATGTTTGCCTACACATTAATATAACAGAAAGTAACATGCAAGTTTTTGATTCCTAAAATATTTTATATATACATTATTTGAGACGATGTCTGTCAGATATTTGGAATAATCTGAGGTAAGCTTCTTGCAGAAATTAAACCAATCTTATCTCATTCCTATTGGCAGATCAACTTAAGATCACTCAACATTTACGGATTCTTTTGATGAACATGAAGTTCAAACACCTTTTTTTACAGATTTTTAAAGGTTTTAGTGTAACATTGTGTTTATAAAAGAGAAGGGAATAAGTTAAGCATTAGGAAAACAAGATCTAAAAACAATCACACTGGTCGTTGGAAAATATATGGTATTTCTGATATACGATATATTTGATCGAGTCAATTGACGTTCGCAAGTCCTACAGAAAAAGAAAAAAAGAAGCTGGATGGTATGTAAATTGACGAATCAGCGATTAGCGAGAAGGCCAGATTTCCTGGTAAAAAAGGATTTCCTCTCAGAAATTCTTCAGCGAAGTGAGCAGATGGTCTTGAAAAAAGGCGAGGATAGTGAAGTTCTATCACTCACTGTAACCTTTCCGTCACTGACAAGTACTCGGTAACATGTCTCTTCAGGAGACAATAAAAGTGGCCAAGGCAGATCTTACTCTGTTGTACTATTTATTATTACAAGAAAACCTGTCGCCTAGGGAAAGGGCAGTTTTTGACTTTCAGTGAGAAATCGAGACAGTACAACTTTTAGGCTTTTCTTCGTAAGGAACTACACTTTCGTTTTCATTGTAGTATGCTTGAGACCGTCATCTTGCTGAAAAATTCAACCTTTCGATAGTTTGAGAAATTTCACAGATGGATTTGAAACGTGGACAAAGTTGGCAGATACAGAGAGAAGGATCCAAGGGTTTGAGAACAAATGTATGAGGAAACTACTTGGCTTTTCTATTGGGAACAAAAAAAAAAAAAAAAATAAAACAATGAATTTGTGCGGAAAAGGGTTGAAAGTTTTATGGGACGCCAGGAACCTCTTCTTGCCACTGTCAAACAAGAGAAAAATTGCGTGGTTTGGACGCATTACAAGGCACGACAGCCTGTGCAAGACCGTCATGCAAGGCACCGTTGAAGGTGGGCGTAGGAGAGGACGCCATCGCAAAAACTGGTTGGACAATGTCAATGGACAGGTATGACTAGAATTGCTGATGGCTGCCGTTGATGGACTGTTGTGGAAAAACGTTAGTGCGTCTTCTGCATTCGGTTCCGCCCTACGATTACAAAAGTCAAGAGGATAATGATGATGATGATAATGATAATTAACCTGGTCATTTTTTGGGGATGCATCCTAAATTTTATAAGGAAATTTTAAATTTCCCTCTCAATAATACTTTATTAACCACGATCTATATATGAATAAAATCTGATCTAATCATGACTAATTACAATCATTTTTCTTATTACTAATGTTCTGGCTAGTACTATTTTTCAACAGTATTTTTTTTGAAAATGCCCATATTCATTTTTAGCAAATATTTTTCATCAAAAAAGAATTGTGTGATTTTAACTTTGTTTTTGTGCTAATCTACCGTGATTTTTGACTGAACTGCAATGCAATAACATTCAATCTTTTACAATTAGAAACAATAATAGAACAGGAATTTAAAAGACAAGATAACGATTAACATTGCATTTAAATATTTTGAAGATCAAAGTTGAAGCAAGAAGCAGGAAGAGAGTTTCCCAAGCGAGAGGAGATACTATTAGCATAAAATTTAAGGTTACTTCTAGCTATTTCAACTGTAAAATGATGAAACCTATCTGCCAATCTGGTACTGCGCTTAAATTCGTAAAGTCTAGATACGAAAGAGAAAAGGTCAGAACAATAAAGAAAAGGCACAGGGAAGTAATTGAAGTCAAGATGCCAGGTCAGGTGCGGTAACTTTGTGGATTCTTTTATTGGGATTTTATCAAAAATCTCTAAATGCATACTAGGAGCGCCAGACTATATGTGATAGACTTATAATATGTGTAAGATAGATTCCGGTGAAAAAAAAAATGTCTGTCACGACACAGCGAACCAAATTTGAAGATAAAAAAAATTCAATTTGATACTCACTTTTCCGTCAAACTTTGTAAGGAATCCCCAGTTAGTTTCCCTGAAGTGTAAGAGGAAAATAAACATTTGTTTATATTATTTCTATCATGCCAAATTATGATGCAGGGCTTAGCAACGTAAAAATAGTCAAACTAGGCGTAAAAATAGTCAGAATTTCCTGTCACTCATTCGTCGATGCAAATGATTTAGTCAGTACTGAAGTAGGATTGGGGTGCTAATGGGGACAGGAACATTTACGTTTCACACTAGGAAATGATTTCACTGACGATGATGTTTTTAGAAAAGACACACAAACTGTATAAGATTAAATAGGTCATTTGCCCGAAAAATTAATAGCTGAATAAATATTAAAGAAAAGCTGATTCTCCACCCGTCACGCTTTGTCTGTGTGTGACTTTGCATGTGCGTATTTAATGTACATGCATAGATTTGTGTTATGCGTTATTGACTTACATGTGCTTGGGCCATTTAATATACACACGAGCACGCACATACATACATACATACATACATACGTATACGATTTGACAGAGTTTGAAATAAGAGATTAGAATAATACATTCCCCTGCCACTCAATCGGGACTGTGTTGATTACCCCCACTTGGTTTGCGAACACGCCGTTAGGTGGCGCTGTTTAAGGACTATAAAATAAGAAACACAAGCATTCCCTCTCTCTCTCTCTCTTTCCCTCTCTTCTGTTCCCAAAGATGTAGCAGCGTTGACAAACAAGCTTTTCGTTCTCACTGAGGACTTCTTATATTTGAGCAACTGAACTTTCATGCATACACATGTGTGTATGGAACACAGGCACACATAACCGCCGAGCACTTACAAGTACACATCTACACCCCCCCCCACACACACACACACAAACCACTTACTATTTGTAAAAATTGTAATTTTTGTGAAAATATTCTTTTTTATTTTTAACAAAAAACCAATGACAACCAGAATTTCGACATGACAAAAATATTTGTTTGTCATGTCGAAATTCTAGTTGTCATTGGTTTTAGTTGAGTTAGAAGTAGTGATCGGAACAGGACAACTCCTACACTAGTTTGTGCAATAAAATCATTACTTTTTTAAATCATAAAAAATCAGATAATTATAATATTTTATTTGACTTTTCGGAAATTATTTGGTAATAAATAAAAATAAAAATTTTAAGAGATGTTTTTTAATTGGATACTTAGTCCTGTCATTAAATTAAAATATACATGAGCACATACAAACGTATATATCAATACAGTTTGAATGACAATGAAATGATCATCTTCATGGTAAGAGATAATTTTCCTTTTCTGCTTGACAACACCCGTGTAACAGGAAAAGAGTATAAGCGAAAATAATCAGCACTTTGAAGTTATTTTTATGACTCCTGTATTTAAAGTGAATATATTTTCTAATAAATGTATTAAATGGACAAACTATTTAGGGTTAAAATTTAATCATTTTTTTCGTTTTCAAAGCGACATATAGCGAACTGGGAAATAAATAAATAAATATAAAACACCTGCTTTGGAAATTCAAGACAAAAGCAATGAAATACAAAAGGAAAACAAATTGACAATTTAAGGGAGTATTGCAATATCGGGATTTATTATTGGCTGACATAACTTTAACAATATAAGTAGATACCTCCAAGGAAAAGCAATGCCTAAGGTTAAAAATGAATCTTTAAAAATGAAAAATCTTTCTTGAAGCTTTTATTTTAGTTTAAATTTAAGCCAATATACTAAATTTAATTTAATATTTCCAATAAACAAAATTCCTTTGCTGCATTTCGAAACGAATTTAAATTGATTGGAATGAGTTTTTTAAATCGCTAAAAATGACCGGTTTTAGTTATATTTATCTTAGCACAACGTAATTCTCTTGATTAAAAATCTTTAAAAAATAAGGTATACTTTTCTGAAACTATTTGAGGAAGATTAGCTGAATTAAAGTTTAATTAATTTGATTTGAAACAAACAACTTACTTTTAGTTTTAATATCGCAGAAAAACATTTTTAACACACAGATGGGTGTTTTTATAAGGCGTTGTTGACAACTATATCAAATGTCTTAAGTTTGGGAAACTTTTTCTACATGGAACATATCTGAAAAATTACTTGACGAATATAACGTGAGCATCATTTTTTTTCTAACTAGTAATCTTAAAAAATTGGAAAAATATTCTAAGTAATCTAATATTTTATTGAATTTTATGTATTTTTGGCTTTAAATTTACTATAATTAACGCTTTTATTTTCTGATAATGTCATGTATGGACGTCCGTATTTACAAAAATCGATACTTTTATACATATAAAAAAAAAATTCATAATTCTTTTGAAAATACTGGGATTGCTGAATTGTATTAAGCTTTTCCATTTATGTTTAGTAAATATATATTTTTACTTAATGACAATATCACCTAATTACTCCACATTAATACAAAATTTGAAAAGAATTAAAAGTTTACAAATTTTTCTAATTAAATTTTTAAAAAAATCCAACGCTAAGATTTTGAACCTAAACTAAATCTTTAAACCCATTTCCTTAAAAAAAAAACGGTAATGATTTGGATAAAAGGATTTTGTGTCATTATTTATCATGTCAAACCCCAAATTTTAAGTGCAATACCACGCTTTCAAAATTGACCTGCCTTATTGGTACAGGTGCGAGTTACTTACCAATCTTTGACTATCTGCCGTTCGCTGCTGAGATATTCCCTCCATATTTTGTCTTGGGCAACGAAATCCACGCCCACATCTTGTGCCTGGTTGTTGGATTTGTTTTCACTGGAAGCACCAGTCCTCTTATTACCAGGGTAAGAGCTATAAATAAGGGGGAAAAATGCCGATTTAATAATATCACAGATTTTTAAAGTTATTTCTAGCACAGTGGACACGAATCAAAAGTGTTTTTATCGGATATTTCTCAGAATTAAGTAGCCCTGGGGTGAGAGGGGACAGAGAATACATCAACTGCATCCCTTGCAGTGGTTTAAGATTACCACAAAAGATACCACCGTTCGGGTGGATAGTCAGTCAGTTATGTGCCATGCGTGATAGGGTATTAGCAATATAATGGATTCGACTGGAATTCGAACTCGGCTCTCCGATTTCTCCACCGTGCCTCCCACATAACTCCAGGTTGGATACTTGAATGTAAACTAAACATATGTTTAACTTTTTTTACTAAAGTGTAAACTATATCGATGTCTACATTTTTCATTCTAATGTCAAACCGAACACATGTGCATCTTTTTGATTCTCGTGTAAACCTGACCATTTGACTCAAGTGCAAACCGAACCTTTGCCAACCGGATTTATATCTACATTTTTATTTAGAAGTTTGTAAGTATCTTTTTCAGTAACGCTACCACCCGTTGGTTGCATTCTCCTTAATCTCAACCAGCTTTGAGAAAAGCCCAAAATCGTAAAGAATTAAATTTGGATTGTAGCATGGACTTTGCACCTGGCAGAATGGGGGGAGGAGTAAGGCGATGTTTTGAAAAAGAAAAACTAAACAAAAACAAAAATTGCACTGAGTGACATCTCAATGTCGACTGAGTAATCACATAGGTGAGTATCTGTTCACCCATGTACAATAAATTCCCTTTTTATTGGCTGCGAAGTTGCATCAAACCGAAAAACCAGATCTATATATATTGAAAGTAAGTGACTATATTTCGCACAGATTTCCTATTACACCAGTTAGCAGTAGAAACACGAATTCTTCCTATTTTTGTCTTGCCAGGTGTGAATTTTGACAATACGAGTGAGTGATAAACAAAAGTTTCAGTTGAGCAAAACGCAGAAATAACTGGATTTTGATAAGGCAATGCTGGTGAACCGGAACATTCGAGATTGGATAATAAATTTCCAAGAAGAGTCACATGGTGTGTAGTTTGGAAGATGGAAAAAATTGTAGCTGACGAAAGGTACACAAGTCGATACCGAATCAGTATCGGTTGGATCACCGTGGTGAGTGGGGTATGATGTTGAAAGACCCGAAACCCCTAATGAACCTCGGCTAGAAACATCGCTGATGATGTGTACCAAAGCATCCAATAGAAGTATTTTACGAAATGAATATTATTATTATTACCATTTCGGTACCTGTAGCTTCGCTGATGGTATGATGATAAAATTTAAAATCTAAATTGTTTGTTTATTTAAAATATTACATTTATTAGAAAATATATCCAGTTTAAATACAGGGTGAGTCATAAAAATGATTTCAAAGGGCCACACATTTCAGCATATACACACTTTTTCTGTTATCCAGGAGTTGTTGCCAGACAGAAAAGGAAATGAATCTTCGCGTTATAGACGCCTATTTCGATTTAATTATAAATTGTGTGTTTATGTATATTTGCGTGAGCTTATGTATATTTTAATTCAATGACAGGCCTAAAAAGAATTCTAAAATAATTTCCGAAAATTTAAATAAAATATAATTATCTGATTTTTTTATTTTTGCAGTTTAAAAATTAGTTTTTTTCTTGTATTCGGATTTTGATTTTATTGCTCAGCCCTCTGTAGGGAGTGTCCAAACCGAATGAGAAGTATTGTTCTAATGTATTATTTCAAACTCAGTCAAATTAGATGTGTATATGTATGCTTGTTCGGGATGTATGTAGCATATGTGAGTCACGCACAACGCAGGTATACAAATATGCATTACGTCCGTGTATGCAAAGTCACACGCAGACAGTATGTGAAAGAGGAGAAAATCAACTCTTTTTTTTATAATATAGTTTTTTTCCTCCTGGTTACTGGCCCCTGTCAAGACTGACTATTGAAGTAACATCGTTTTGTTGTTACTGTCTCGACAGTTAAGACATTTTTATGAGAGAACTGGTTGCCTTAGTACGCACTCACCCAATTTTGACTGATCGTACAGAAAAACGACGCCAACTGAGTGAGCGGTCAAATAAAATCACTGAACACCAAAAAAAAAAAAAAAAAAAAAAAGAAAGAAAGAAAGAAAAGGTCTTTGCCAATCTACATTTGATTCATATGTAGTCAGCAGTAAAAATAGCATCATAAATACAGTGTAACCCGGATATAAGAGAGATTTTCTCTGGTCCCAAAGTGTTCCCATACTTACCTAAACAAAATAGACCAAACCCGGATATAAGAGACTTCTTCTCCGGTCCCGACAACTCTCTTATATCCGGGTTACACTGTAATTTAATTTTCCCCTCAAAACATAATTTGATTTGTCATTTATATGTATTCATTAGAATTAATGAAAGTTTGAACGTATTTGTTTAATAAATTCTACCTCCAATTTCTTTACTGTAGTAAAATCATTTATAATGTATTTCTACAGTAAATTAATTTCCAAATGCTTTTAGTAATTGTTGTGTCACTGTGTATGTAATCATGTCCAATGCATCTTAAGTATACTTTTAGTAATTGTTGTGTCACTGTGTATGTAATCATGCAAGTGAATGAAAATTTGGACATAATTGTTTTAAAGGAAATAAACACTATTTCCAAAGCAATTACAAAGCCACATATAACACATATTAAAACACGCCTAAACTTTATTTTCTATCCAATAACAGGCAATATTACAAACATGCCAAAAACATTCCACTATACGACACACACCGTTTAAATCAAAGTGTCTATTGGTTAGGAACTAGCATCATCATGTGAAATATTTGACCAATCAGAGAAAACTAAAACCCAATTTTTCAGGAACCTATTTTTTGGGAAAAATCTCTCATAAGACACAAATTTCGATTTTCAAAGAGCAAAGATGCGACTGTTTCCACGTGCTGAAAGAAACATATCTCAGTGACTTCGGACGAATCATCTCCAACAAAGACGGTTATTGAATCATTGCTAACGATCGCTTTTTTCAACCCCAGTTTTTTCATAAATTAAATAAATATGTATGTATACGTGTGCATGTGCGTGTGTATGTGTGGGGCGGAGTAATAACAGTTGTAAAAAATATTTTTACTAAGATTTTCTAAAAAAAAGAAACGTTTCTAAAATAATTTCATTTCTGAATAAGTCCTGATTGTTTCGTTAAAATCCGACAATTATCTGATTTTTTCAAAAATTTTCAAATCAATGTGTTTTTCACCGCAAAAAGACGCTCAAATATCCCGTCATAGTCACAACAAGAAAAACAAACAAAATGTTTAATAAAAAATTTCGAAGATTCTAAAAACGACAAAACATATAATTTAATAATCAAAAAATAAAGATTTTGACGATAAAACTTGTTTTTAAGTTTGGAACATATTTTTTCATCATGTATGCTCATTTTTTTTGGGCGAATCTTTGTAGGTACCAAAATAAAATGTACATTTTTTTTTTGTAGTTTCATCACGTAATTTATTAAATCTTACAAAAAAAAGTTACAGTCCCGACGGGTATATTTAATTAAAAAAATGAAATTAGAAGTATCATTTCATAAAGTCTACTAAAAAAAAAAAAAAAAAAAAAAAGAATTATTATTTAAACTGGATACTTGTTTGGCTGATGATCCTTTGTTTACTATTTGCCAATCAATGTAAACAAACCAAGGTAAATCAAGCATCAAATGGTTTCTATGTGGGGTGAGCTTGCTTCATTGAAAAAAATCATTATTCTTCATTGAAAAATACGTCAAATAAAGAAGACGGCATCAGTTTTTGTCTAGTAACTAGCTAAAAAAAAAAAAAAAAATTAAAAAAAAACAAGAAAGAAAACAATCCCGCACGAGTGATTGATACAGTGACAACTGCATGTCTGGACAAGTAAAAATTGAATAAAAAAATAGATCATAAATTATTTAATTAAGAATAAAAATAAGCCCATTTTTGTCTTTTTCTCTTCTTTTCGTATTTATTAGTTCTTTGGGACTGGATATTATTATCGATTGATGAATCCATGTAAAAATGCTAAGATTAGCACACTCAGTTCATAATCTCTCGCTTTTTGTCTCTCTCTATCTCTATCTCTCTCTCCCGCACACACACAGAGGTACCGCCACTTTCTAAAATACCCCCCACCCCGCAAAAACGATTTGAAATAATTTAAATGCCTTCTTTGAAATTAAATTTCGATTTTATTTGAAAGATATTAGTACTATAGCGCTATATCTGAATTAAAAGAAAAAATAATTTCCGATATAAAGTTTTTAGACATTTTTAAAACATTGGCACGGTCACTAACCAAACGCCATTATAGACGAAAATGTAAACAACTAATTTAAAAATCTCTAAAAAATTCAGTATTTATCCTCGAGGTATATCTTGGTTAGCTAGTAAAAGAAGTGGAAAGTGACGATTGTGCAGCTCCAGGCCAGATATAGCAGAAATACTCCATTTTTCGTCTGATCTGTCCCTTGTAAAGATAGAGTATGGCCGAGGGAGTCGGGTACTTTCTGAAATGTTACAAATAACCGACTAGTTCCCCACTATCTTTAGCGGCGGTTCGTATATTGGTAACCGTAAATATATAAGAGAATTTTGAAATTCCTTATTTGATTTTTGAACAAATCTCCATTGGGAAAGCAGTCTCGCCAGCGAAGATTTGGTTTGTAGAACCCAAATTTAATATTTAATTGGAGTCCTGTTTAAATTCACCGTGAGTCCCCTAACGTAATTCGGCAAAGAATTTGACCATTTCAAAATAAATGAATACAACACAGCCATAGCTAACGATAATTTTTTTTTATATATATGGTTCAACAAAACAATTAAGATACAAAAAAGGGAAATTAAGTTGATTTATTGATTGATTGATTTGTCTTTTACGGCTTATCAACTCTTTGCAGATTATTTAAAGCCAGAAAATACTTTTACATTGTAAAAATTTGTTTTTGAGTTGGGGGCGATAATAATGGTTTGGTGATACAAGTCTTACTAATTAACCGTAGCTGGAGGATTCATACTTTTCCTAAATGTATTTGCGCGTAACGAACCCAACTGGAATTGGATCTCCGCACTCCGATTAACAATTCCGAGTCATTATCAATTACACCACCCACAGATCCAAGCTTACAGAACCTGGTATATCCCAAGCGGTCACCCATCCAGGTACTGACCAGTCTAGACCTTGTTTAACTTCGGTATTGTACAGGGATCCATGTTTCAACGTGATATGGCCGTAAGCCTGATTAAGTTGGTATCATTTTGAAATTGGTTTGATAAAAAAAAGTTTTGTGTAGAATGGATATTCCTTTCAGATATATGGGTTCGAAAAGAAAGAGTATTTACACACACACATACACACACATACAGAGAGAGAGAGAGAGAGAGAGAGAGAGAGAGAGAGAGAGAGAGATGGCGGTACAGACAGACTTACACACACGCACAGGGGGAAAGAGAAAGAAGAGATTTACATGCAAAGTATGAGAGAGGAGTTCGTTGAACTTTCACTTGTGGCATTGGTTGGTGAAAATTGGGTAGACGATTGAAGACAGTCCAAGTTTAAACACTCCCCACATATATATATATATATATATATATATATATATATATATATATATACATATACATACACGTATATATCTGTTATCTTTATAGAGAAAAAGTGCTTAGATATAATAAGCGTGGGCGTAGGCATAGAAATCAACATGGTGACTGTCAGTTTCACGGGTCATTGATCTGAAGATCGCACTGAATCGGGAAACTGACAGTCACTCTCCATTGTTGAATCCATCTATGTGTATATTGCTATAAACTTTATTTTTGGTGGGTACACATGTTTGAGTTGTGTTTCCTATTTTTAATTTTCTTAAACAGTGAAATTAAAACCGACCTAGATCGAGAAGTCCCACTAAAGAAAATTTGTGTCTCCAGACAGGAATCCAACTTGTATTCTTTTTTCTATTAGGGAAACCGCTCCTATAGCAGAAAGTTGCCGCTACGAATTGAGATAGATAGATAGATAGATAGATAGATAGATAGAATGAAACAGATACAGATAGATAGATAGAAAGAAAGAAACAGATACAGATAGATAGAAATAGATAGATAGATAGAAATAGATAGATAGATAGAAAAAGACAGATAGATAGATACATAAATATATAGATAGATAGATAGAAAGAAAGAAACAGATACAGATAGATAGATAGATAGATAGATAAGGAAATGAGGGGCTACAAAAGCAAAAGAAACGTGCAACAGAAGTAAAAACTGCTAAGATTGATTCCTTTTTCTACGATTTATCAACTCTTTTCAAGTTATTTAAAGCCAATTTTTTTTTTACATTGTAAGAATGGTGGTTTAGTGATACATTATCAGTATAGGTACTCTAGGCAACAATATATGTTATTTCAGATTCATCAGCAATTGTTACATACCAAACTTTGGACTCCTTATGAGTAGTGACCTTCTAGCATAATTATTTCTAGACTTTTTAGACTCAAGCCAGTTTCAATACAGCTTTTAAAAAATCTTATTATACCTCAGATATATCACTGACTAAATCAATCACTAATTTTAAAAAATAGTGTTAGCAGGCTCAACCAGGTTGAAGAAACTACAGTGTAACCCGGATATAAGAGACCCGGATATAAGAGAAACCCGGATATAAGAGAGATTTTCTCTGGTCCCAAATTAGAGCCTGTGTTAATGTATATAAAATACACCAAACCCGGATATAAGAGACTTCTTCTCCGGTCCCGACAACTCTCTTATATCCGGGTTACACTGTATTAAATTTACCTTTGAAATAGAAAATAATAACTCGTTACTTATTTTAGGACCTTTTACTAATTAGATCCAATAATGGGTCAAAGTTTAAAATATCGAAATCCGACAAATAAGAATGACTATATGCATTTTTACTCAATTCGTAACAATAAAACTCAAACTGGTATAATAATAGGATTTTATTCAGAACAATTACAATATGGAGCTTCTAATATCTAAACGAAGAATATATTCGAAACACTAAAATACGCTACTTACTATATACTAACCGCTAAAAGGAAAGCTCTGAAGATATACCGCAATAGTAAACGTGTAAAAGATTCTCTTAAGGACCTTATCACTAACATCGACCACCTCAAATAGAGGCTGATAAACTCAAAGATGTTGGAATTAAAACCGTTCTGGTTTGTCAGTGTTATAAAGTTCGTATAACGCTCGTAGTTGTTGGTTAGTAAGGTTGTAAAGAAAAAACTGTAAACAAAAGGTTGAGTAAAGAAGAGTTTAATCACATGAGAATATGGATTAAGACGACAGTAGTTCAGTGCGACTGGGAAACGTTACGCTTTTGCGATTCACTTTTTCCACTGTTCCATGTGCAAACGTTTTACTCATAGCAGATGAGTCCATGTTTCACTGATAGGCATAGAGAAAGTTAGTCAGTCTTTCTACACAACATCCAGGTAAATATGTGATCCATTATAGCGTCCTCTGTTTGCTAACCCTTATTTTCTTAAAAAAATTAGTCACAGCCAATAAACGCCCTTCAATATTTTTCGTAACATGCTTTTGGCTCAATTTAATGATTTGTTTTCCAGCAAAGATTTATTAATTTTTTATTGAACAAAAAAATACTGAGATTTTGTCACTAATTTGATACTAATTTGGAAATTCGGGCGTCAGTTCACAGACTGCACTGTGAAAAGCAGAAATAAGCAATGTTTAAATACATTTAACAAATCATTTTGAGTCACACTATTCGATAAGAAGCAAAACATTATATAAAATTCGATTTTCTTGACAAAAACCTTGTCTTCATAGCAATAATTTCTGGATTTAATTTCATCGACTAACCTTTTCCCTACTATTGCTACACACAACATACACACAAACTCTACACATAGTGAAACATTTTGATGTTAGTAACACTAAAACGTGGCCATTATATTTACGCTTTGTTTTCGTTGTTTTTTCCTTCACTTTTCAGGTTTCCTTTATTTGTACTTTGAAATGTTTACGACATATTCAGCAAATTAAATATGGCGTTATGGTTATATACAAGTATTTTTTGGAGGTGGGTAATTAAAATGCTACAGGAAATTTTATAACACGTCCCCACACTGCTGCCAAAAGAAAAACAGGGAATTAAAAAAAAATACTAATTTATTTACTAAGAATACATGAATAGACTTAATGGTATATGATGATTATGTGAATATTTTCGTACCTTGAAAGAAAATGATATTTATAAAATGTATGAATCCCAGGTTCGTCTCTTAAAATACACTTATTTTTAATTTGGCAGCAAAAGACAAAAAAAAAAAAAATTAGATTACGAAAGACTTGGTCAGAGATGGAGTTCTTGACGTTTGCAACAGGAGTATAAGAGTTTTCATAATTAGTTTTGAGGAACATTCACAAATTCATGTGAAATTAGAAGTTGGGGTTAACACAAAAGCGAATGATGAACAGAGAGGCAACAAAAGGGAAAAACGGTGCTAAGAATACTTAACAAAGATTAAAATAAATAACTTTTTAAAGAAAATCTTAAAAAATGAGTTAAATTTAAATGTTTTTTTCTGAACAAGTTCATATAAGATTGCCAAAAAGTTAATTTGGTAACTGAGAAAATACAACATTCTATCAATGATCTACGATAAGACACGATTTTATAGTTTTTATATTTTAATTTTCAAAGAAAAATTCAGACTTTTTTCTTAAACAACCTGATTGATTACTACTTTTGTTTTCTGTCGTTTGCAAAAATTCATTGTTGTGGTATTATTAATTAATTTTTAATCGGGACAAAGGGGAAGGATAATTTTGATCCCTTTATGGATGCAGCTCACAAAAGGCTTTATGAATGGTAATTGATCTACTACAGTTTATACTTATTGACCTTTTATTCCAATTATAACAAATAAAATATCCCAATGAAGAAAAAGCATAAGATACATATATTGCTTCCTTTTTTCTCTTTTTTCGAGAAGATCAGATGAAAAATATTGAATGCATAATCCTTTAAAGTTTAGCATCAAAGAATTGTCGTTGGCTTAAATGCTTTGATCACAATACAGAATGGAAAAAAAGGTTGGTGGGTAATCAAAAAACATTCTTGTTTTGTTTAGCCTTTTGACACTAGACTAATGCGTTTTCAAGTTCAAAAACATGCATCCATAATGTATTTCGATTTTGATTAACATTGTCAAGTTTGTACGAACAAAAATGTATTGGGTTTTGATCATGTGGTGGTACTAAGTACCATTACAGGGTTAAATGTGAACAGGTTAGAATATTAAAAAAAAAAACGGAGAAAAGCGAATAAGAAAAGCTTGTCTTTATTCACAATTTCCCGGACCCCAGTTATAATCAATGCTACCGATACTATATGGTGATCAGGGAAATTTGAAATTATGTCTGAAGTACAGAAGAAGCGTTTCTTATAGAGCTTAATATATCATAAAGCAATTGTTCGCCTCGAGGCTGACTTTCCTACGCCGCTCGTTGACAGGAGATGCGATTATGGCGGGGATTGTAAAGGACGCCTTCCCTTTTCTTACTATCAGCCCCCCCCTATCTCGCGGGTTGAGCGCCGTCGTAAACCTCGGGATCAATCGGATTTCCTTCGCGAATGTCGATATGACTTGACAAACATTCCTCGGTCCAGTGACCTTTCTCTGCCTAGAAAGGTCTTCTATCGTCAACTAGTGGTGGCAGTCGCGAAGGATCCTCTACGTGAGCGGCTCGACTTGTCGGAGGAAGAGTTTCGTTCTTTCTGGTCTTATGCACCAGCGGCAGATTATCTCAGTAACTGAGTTTTCGCTTACCTGAAGACTGGCTCAGAATAGGCTGCCTCTCAATGACAAGGGCTTCATATAGGGCTTGGCGAATTTGCCAGACTATGAACGATGTGACCTTAGCCTAGAGGAAACGGTTTCGCACGCCTTCTATTATTCTCGGGTTCGCCCCCCCCCCTATGGGACCATGTTGGCGAGTTGATAGCTCATTGATCGCGCATACGCGTGTGACAATGTGTCGCCCCTGTATTCTGGGGTGAAACGAATGGTGTTTCTAACGCTGCTGGCCACGGCACGACTGGAGAAAGTCTTGCGAGGCAACCGTCTTTCTAATCAGGATCTGATCTGATTCTTTGAGTATCAGCTCAAGATGAAGATTAGAACTTATAGAAAACGCTTGCATTCAACAGACTTTAGCGAAAGGTGGGTAACTGAGGCGAGCTTGGTTCGTTTGAACGGGGCTAGCCTTGATTTTCTCTTTTAGGTCAACCTATATCACATCGGGGTGGTTTCCTGTGGAGTCCTCCCCTGGATAGGCTAGACAAGCTTTGTGTACCTAGTTAAGTAAGTAAGTTGAGTAAGTGTTGTTCCTGGCTTGCTCACGGCTACATCTTTGGTTATGATCCAAGTTGAGATTCCCAACCTCCACAGTTTGTTTTGGCCCCCTTTCATCTCGACTGGGTTAAATTTATTTATTTCCCATGTTCGTATATATGTTCTCCTTTCCCTCTCACTTAGCCCTTCCCGCATCAATCTCTATAGTGTCACTGTGTCTCGTCTAAAATTGGAGTTCAAAGTTCTTCCGTGTTAGGAGATCTCGTGACAGCCGATGTGAATTTCAAAGGCACTCGATGCGGGATTCGCACGTTAGTCTACGAGCTCTCAAAGTTATCTGCTTATATGCACTTCGGCACCAAACCGGCGTGGGGCCGAAAAGTTCTGGGGATTCAGTGATTCCTCGATTTTCACATTAATTCTGCTTTCCAATTTTGGAGAATTATCCACCTTCTTGGGAGTATTTACAGGGATTGCTCTTCCCTTTAACTCTTGCTTCATTTTACATCTCATACCATCACTCCATAAAAGTGGTGCTAAATTCTCCATTTTCCTCCTCCCTCTCAGGATTCAACCTCAGCCTACTTCTCAGGGCAGGCATAACTGTCTTTGTGACAAATCCAAATTTGAAAGTGTGTGGGTGAAAGGGTGTAGTTTTATTCAAGTCATTAATTTTAATTCTATTGATTCCTTAAGGAAGAGATAAAATTATTTCTCAATTCTTGGACTTATCTGTAGCGAAAATATAAACTGGATCACCTGCTCATCAACGGCAGGGCCTGTTTTCGTAACTTCGACCCTCAAAAAGGGTTAGTTCTTTATTTAAATTCCCGAATTCGTCTGTCTCCCTCCTCGTTAATCATAACTGCTTTCTTAATTCCTCAAGGAAGAGATAAAATTATTTCTCAATTCCTAGATTTCTGTCCGGTGAAAATATAAACCAGATCACTGTTGATCAGACTTGTTTTCATAACTTCTGTCCTATCGTACATTTGACCCCCAAGAAAAAAGTTGGTTCTCATTTAAATTTCCGAGCGTGTTGCAAAACTATTTCCCAATTTGTTTTCGTCTGCAAAAACATAATCCAGATCTATCTCTCTCCCGCTAACGATATTTGTTTGCTTAAATTCTCAAGGAAGAGATAAATTCATTTCTCAATTTGTTTTGCCCGCATGCCAGATTCTCGATAGATATGTCTCCATCCACTCTCTCTATCTCCCAGCTCATATTTCATTAAAATGGAATATGAGCTGGGAGAAAGCCTTAACCCATTCCAATTCATAATTAACAATTAAGCAATTTACGGCCGCAGTGCCACAAATGCACCATATGCACATCGAAGCTTACAGCACTTGTTATTTCCAAGTGGTCACCCAACTATGTACTGACCGGGCTCGATGTTGTTTAACTGGTGATCGCACGAGAACCGGTGTCGTAACGTGATGTGGCTGTAAGTCATCTACATTCTGGGATCTTTCTTTTTCGCCTCATATGTGATAATGAAACGTTATTGTGCTTTTTTTGATATTCGATATGTTTGAAGATCTCCGTGTTTAATTATTAAAGTGTCACAAGAACATAATTACTCGAATCATTTTGTGTGTGTGTATTTTGTATCAATTATTGACATAAATGAGCTGTTATAATTCATGAAATTATTTCTAGTTGTGTATTGCAACCCAGTATTATATTTTTTTTTTATAAATATTAAAGTGAAGGAAATGATGTTTATAGTAATAAAGCTATGATACAATGTTATGGTTTTTATTTTTTTTACCCTATGATACACTGCTTTTATTTTTTTATTTTTTTACCCTAAGATGCACTATTAAGGTTTTTATTTTTCTTGCCCTATGATACACTGTTAAGATTTTTTTACCCTATGATACACTCTTAAGGTTTTATTTTTTTTATCCTATGATACACTGTTAAGTTTTTCATTTTTTTACCCTATGATATACTGTTAAGTTTTTTAATCTTTTACGCTATGATACACTGTTAAGGTTTTATTTTTCACCCTAACATATACTGTTAAGGTTTTTATTTTTTACCCTATTTGTAAATGTTATGGTTTTTTTTTGTTTTTTTTCCCACGTGTCATATTTTCTTTTTATAAAGCATATCTATAAGACCCGGGCGATCATAAATTTCTACAACTTCTTGTTTTTGGTATATTTTTACAGTGATATTTACACTGTACAAGGCTTGACGGTCATTTCAGGTAGAGGTTTACAAAATAGAGGCACAGCTTATGCGGACATATAGGGAAGATAACGGTTAACCCTAGACTTGAATAGGTTAAGATTGTAGTGATCGGAAAAGCAACCTCTTGAGAGTTGATTCCACAAGACAGTGGTCCATGGGATGAATCTGCTCGAGTAGAACTTATATCTCACCAAAGGAATACGAAGAGAATGAGAGTGATTCGCTACAATGGGCGGCGTAACATGGCGGGTCTTAGCCGTAAAGGTTAAGACTGGTGGAACTAAAGACTGTAGTTTATCTGAACACTTCCCATGGAAATAGCGATAGAGCAGTAATAGGTTTGCGGTGTCAAGTAACTTTGGAGTCTTTGGCATTCCTCTTAATTCGTGTTCTGTCATTTATTCACACAAACTCGTTAACTAGGCTACTTGCTGATTTTCCTTATTTCTTTAGCCTTCAATATGTCATGTGGATGTAAAAATTCTCAATGCTTCTTTCCTCATCATGTGTCCAATAAATTCCAACTGCCTGTTTCTGATTCTAAATATGTGTCCTTGTCCGTATTTTTCTTAAGACTTCCACGTTTCTCACAGGTTCTGTACATGACATTCCCAGCATTCTACAATAAAACCACGCCCTTCAGTCTCTCCTTCACTTGTGAGAAGATTGTAAAACATTCAATACCGTATACGAGATCAGATATTACATAACAGTTCAGTACTCTTTTCTTTATTTTTAAGGACATTTTTCTATTTCTTAATACTTTGCTTTTTATCTTTTACTTATTAAACAGCCGTTAGAAATAAAATGCTCTTACTTAGAAACTCAAGGTATTTTTTTTTTACTCTGGTTTAGATTATTATCGTTCTTTTCTTGATGTAAACGTCATATAAGTATTTCAATCTGACTGGCAACGGATTCGCAGTAAAATTCTATAATGTAGACGAGGTTAGTGATGTGCTGGGGTTAAAATTGTCACTAAAAGTGGTGAACTGGTTGGGTGTCTGTTTGCTCGATGACAAGTAGACCCCCTGATGGAATGAACCTCCTATATCAAATAAAAATGCAATAAAGAAACAAAGATAGACAACTGTTTTTGATAACAAAAAGGAATAAGAACTGGATAAAGTCATCTGCACACTATCAGTTACTTAAGTCAAATGTGAAAGGACATTTTCAAAGATAAAAATCATAAAGACAGTTAAGAAATTCTCTGCCTGAAGGGACTTTGGAATCATCCATGTTTCTATCCAATGAAAAGGAATTGTTAGATGAATTGGACGCAGAAGCAATTATTGGCAGATTCACATAATTATCTCGTCAACACAAACGATTGCACTTAATAAAGTGGACTACATACAATTCTCTATTGAGCGTTTGAACTATCAGTTAGTGTTTAAATTGTTCAGTAAACTATTTAAAACAATCAACCAATTACTTAAAATTAAAAAAATAAATTAAATTATAACATTCTGTATGTACATTTGGTATTTACTGCCAGCAAGGTTCTAGTACATCCGCTTCGAATCTATGATACGGGAACCCAACTTTACTAAATCTCAATTTTCATAGGGTAGTATTTATATAAAATACAAATTTTATTGTAACCTAATTATGTAATATAATGGATCATATGCAATATAAGCGAAGAGTTCAACTAGAAAAATTGAAAATACATATAATGTATTTAAATACAAATTAGAGACATGTCATCATAGATCATTTCATCTTAAATAAATTAATAATGTCTTGCGACAATTTTTAATATCAACTTGTTAAAATATTAAATAATTTTAACACATTCAACGTTATGGATAAAAAATAGTGAATTTTAAATAATGTTTTTTTCGAGACTGAACATGTGAAAAAGATTCACGGATTTGGACAAAAAAGAATCCAGAATGACTTCAAAATCTGAAAGTTTTTCATTCTTTAATATTAATCAGTTGTGCTTAGTTTAATTTGTAACGTATATAATATATACCCTTTTTTCATATGTATTTCTTTAAAATGTTATTTATTCGTTGAGAAAATTAAATGATGGCATTGTGGTTGCGGATGTAATTCCTTTGTTTCCTGGCAACCAATATTTCTCGACCTAGTCCGCCACTGGTCACTAATGTAAGGTTTACAAGGATCACTGCGGTTTGCCAGGGTTGAAAAGAAAAGAGTAATATGTTGTACGGGGGAAAAGATGAGTTAAAATAACAATTTAACTTCTTATTGAAATTTGTTAATGCTTAGAGTTTGTAGCCATATGTAAACCCACTTACAAAAGACAGTGGTAACCTGTTGCAACCAACGATTGTGGTTTACTATGAAGTGGAGACTGGATGAAGGGTAGATAAACAATGTCACCAATCACCAAAGTTAAGCAACGTCGAGCCTGATGCGTAAGTGCTTGGGAATACCAGGTACTGTAAACATGAATGTGTAGGTAGTGTAATTTATAACGGCTCGAAACTGGAAATCGAAGAGCCGAGTTCTAGTTCCGAGTCGGGTTCGTTATATTCACGTACGTGCAACAAATACCCTTGGGAAAGGCATGAATCCACCTCTGCTCCCACCAACTATGGGTTAATTAGTAGAACTTGTATGAGTAAATCATTATTATATCCCCCAAAATCCTTACAACCTAAAAACATTTTCTGGCTTTAAATAACTTGAAAAAGGTTGACAAACCGTAAAAAACAAATCAATCAATCAACAATATCACGAGTGTAGAAATTAATGGAGGCAGTGACAAAATGAAGCAATTGAGTTTTCGTGTAACAAATTTATACAGAAATATTAAACACGTTTACAGAACGGAGAAAATTGCTTTGAAGTAATGGAAATTTGAAAAAAAAAAGATCTTACGACCACATCATTGGTTCCTATACGATCACGGAAGTTAAGCAACGTCGAACCTGGTGAGTACCTAGATGGGTGACCGCTTGGGAATACCAGATTCTGTAAGCTTGGATGTGCGGGTGGTGTAATGGATAACATCTCGGAATTGTTAATCGGAGAGCCGAGTTCCAAATCCCGTTAAGTTCGTTATATTCTCTTACGTGCAAATACCGTTGGGAAAGGTATGAATCCACCTCCTCTAAACCATTATTATTTCCAAAAATAATTCTTATAATTTAAAAATATTTTCTGGCTTTAACTAACCTGCAAAGAGTTGATAAGCTGTAGAAATCGAATCAACCAATCAACTTCAGCTGGTGATAGTTACACGTGTGAATCAATATGACGCCAATGCCTAGAGTTCGCACGTAGGTAAGCACGGTGCAGTGTGCGAAATCCGAATTAAAGAAATTGTGGGAGACGGCTGATGGTGATATTTTTGAGTTTGGTGAGTAATGGTTTGATCGACGGAGATGTATAATTGATTTGTTTTGGAACCCATTATTATAATGGTAATATTGTTCCCAGATGAATGTAGATAGAGCGAAAACTGAATTGTTATATAATATATTTCTTTCTCTAATTCAAATGAAAGCTGTAAAAAAAACGACCGAATAAGGTTAATGCACGAGAAAGCGAGTTCTACTGTAAAGTTCATATGTTTGCATGAATTTCGATTCTTGATCGATTCGAGATATTATGTCTGGAAACAACGGTTTGTGTTGCTGGTGTATGTCGATATATTTGCAGACAGATCAATGTAAAAAGTCACTGTTAATGAAAATAATAAGAAGAAAAGAATTCACAAAGAAAAAAAATTATCAGACCCTGCACATTGGATGTTGTCTAATGTTTTGACCTCGAACAACTTGGAAAACATACGTTATGTTTATCTCATACAAAGACAGAATCTTTTCCAGAACGTTTTTTAACTCCTATATACGTCGTTTCACGCCTCAAGAGATATCTAGACACACGTTCTGAAGATCGCTCGATTCCTATATCTACGCTGTGATAGCTATAAATGCTATAAATCTCTGATCTTGATCCCTTTTCCCCTATAAACATTAGGCAGTATATATATTGATCCGAATAACTGGGAGCAACTTGTGTGTGAACGCAGCAACTGGCGACAGGCTGTTCGAAGAGATATCAAGAGAAGCGAGGAGAAGCGTCAGAATCAGATGAAAAACGACTCAAGGCGCAAAAACGGGAGAATCAAGTTCAGGCTTCACACGCCAGTTTCACATGCATTACTTGCGGATGAGATTGTGATTCAAATATCGACAACCAACCAGTCAAGAATCGGAGTCACTCTAGATATTTTCTATCTGCGGACCTGATTCTGATCAACCAGGGCGTTGACATTATCTTACGAAATAGACGGTCGCCAAGAAAAAAGTGGCGTGTATTCTCCAAAAACAAAATAACCATTGCTTATGCTATAAATATTATTCCGTACAAAATCTTTTAGGAAAGTTTAACTACCACATCACATTGAAACACCGATTCCCGTAAGACCAACGAAGTTTAGCAATGTCGAGCCTGGTCAGTACCTAGATGGGTGACCACTTGGGAATACCAGGTGCTGTAAAGTTGGATATGCGCGTGATAATGACTCGAAATTCTTAATTGGGCTGCTGAGTTCCAATGGGTTCGTTATACTCGCTTACATGCAAATACCCCTGGGATAGGTATAAATCCACCGCTTCTCCTCCCAGATATGGGTTAATTAGTAAGACTTTTATCAATAAACCACTATTATCTAAAAGCAAATTTCTTACAATCTAAATATATTTTCTGATTTTAAATAATCTGTAACGGGTTGATAAGCCGTAGAAAACGAATCAATCAGTCACTCAAAAATAAAAAAAAACATCTCTATTTATTAAAGATAATCTATTATTTATTTCAATTGTATTATACAGTACTTTAGGGAGACTCGCTGAATTTATTGTGATTAGCATTTGAAACATGGGAACAGACATTCGCCTTTGAAAATCTGCATCTCTGATAGGTAAAATTTAATTTTCAGTAATCATTTTACTGAATATAATGATATGACACTTTCAGACAAAATACAGTTCGATCTCTTTAATCCGTCACTGCGTGGTCCGGCAACGCCCATGGTCCGGCACAGTTTTGAATCAGCCTCCATTAGTTCGTTGATCAGCTACAAGAGTTGCGTCATCCGTTGTTTACAACTTTCCGCAGCAGCCGACAACAGCAATTATATTTTGGTGATACGGTCTTTTGCTTATTTGTTATACATAGCCTCATATTTATCCAGTCAGGATAATGAGAACATTATTTCTTGGTTTTAGGCTTTTTTTTTTAGTCTTTATATTGCATGAAACGATAAAGAAAAACTTATTTGGGGACATTAATGATTGTTTTATTTCTTGTTTTAAGCTTTGTTCTACTTTTGATCACGGCAATATATATGTGGAATGAACTGGCTATATTATGTTTATATAGGTTTTTTTTAGGAGATATTTATGTCATCCGGCACTTTCTGTGGTCCGGCAGTGAACTGGTCCCAAGGATTCCGAATTCGGATTGTAGTTAATTCGGTTAACGACTAAAGTCGATTAGCACGCATTGCATCCAGCAATCGTCAGTTGGTATTGCTGATTCGGTGAAAGAGAAAGAGACACTATACACAGAGCGTCTTTCGATATTTTATTTTTATTTTTTGCCGGCAGCAAAGGTTTAATTTTAAAAATTTTGTTTCACTTAAAATTCATTCCTCATTATCATAGTTCATGAATGATAGCATTAATATAAATTGTTTGATAGTTACACTCAAAGATTAAATCCAAACACTCAAAAACATTCAGCTGAAATTTCAGAGTTAATGCAATAAATTTAATTTAATTAATTGCTGTTACTGCTTTTGATTCATTTGTTAAATTGATAATTTATTCTAACTTTTGTTTAAGATCATAACAATGATTTGTTTATACCAGCATATTTTTCAAGAGATGCCATTGATAGACCCTATAGAATATGGATCATTGTTTTTTAACTGGTGTTTTGTCGGACCTTAGGGTTCCGCAAAAGGTCGCTAAACTAACGCATGTTTCTTTAGTAATTTTCATTTAATTTTATCTTCTTAATTTTACTATATACGTATGGCATATTGCTGGAAAACCTTTGGTTATTATAATAAAGGCTTCAACCTATAATATTATTTAAAATATAATATTTATGGGGAATGTATTTAGCGTTGTCTATATAGTGTTTTTTATGGATTTTTTATGCAGGGATTCCCAAAAACTATTTCAAGGGTTCCACAAGGGTGAAAAGGTTGAGAAACGCTGCAATAGACCTGATGCTACAAAATCACAAACTGCGAAATCACAACTGACAGCAGTAATAACAAAAATAGACATCAAATGTAACTAGAAGGAAACTAATGATATAATAAAGATGTTAACTTTCTACACTATCATTGTTGGGATCCGTCTACCCAGATTTTAGTAGCTACATTTAACAACCCATCTTTTAAATGAAACATAAAAGGTTATTTTCTGAAGGAAAAGTAGAAGCAGAACGTCTATTGAAATAACATTTATATATTCTTTTCAGAATTAAACAATAGCAGTAAAATGTTCAATTTTCCTTCCAGTGAAGATTGTTTTATAAAGTAATCACGTGTTCTTAGCGCGTCGTGAAATGAGTGGACAGATTTACCTTATGACGGTCAGTCCAATGTGTTTGTGAGTTTGTAGACAAAGGCTTAGGCAGCTGGTTAATCCCTTCTAGTGTGTACGTGGACAAGGCCTTAGTCGACGGCTTCTTCATGTCTTTTCTCCATTGTGGGTGTCTGTGTGGTGTGGTGCGTGTACGCACATTTAGATCAAACTGACCTTCAAAATTGTTTTAAGTCACGAGAAGCAATAAGTCTTCTATTTCTATAACCGTAAGGAGATTCCAAATAGAGATGTGAACTTTTTAAATATAAGGTTTTCATTGGTTAGAAAATAATTTTCCATTAGCTTGTGAAAATCTTTTTCTCGAATTTGCGGATGTAGTGAAGGGAGTTATTGTTACTTTCTAAATTGTCCAAATATAACATGTGGTAGATCTACAACTATGTCCGCAAGTATTTTGACAGTATTTTGCCCTTGTAATCCAACCAACCTTCTGTTTAGATTTTATTGATTAATATATATATATATATATATATATATATATATATATATATATATATATATATATAATAGTAATAAAAAGAGTACTAATATTGAGAAGTCTTATTATCTGAAAAACGGTTTAAAGAAAAAATATTTTATAAATTTCAAGCGACATTAACGTTAACCGTTCAGTCAATTAATGCGGAATATTTTCTATATGATTTGATTGATTCATTTTTTACGGCTTATCAACCCTTTGTAGGTTATTGAAAGTTAGGTAATATTTTTAGATTGCAATAATTGTTTTTTTTCGGGGGATAGATAGAAATAATGTAATGATAAAAGTCTTACTAATTAACCCGTAGTTGAGGGTAGAAGAGAGGGATTCATACTTTTCCCCAAGGGTATCTGTGCGTAATTGAATATAACGAACCGAATGGGAATTGGAACTCGGCTCTTCGATTCACAATTCCGATCTTTTATCTATTACACCAACCGCACATCCAAGTTTACCGTACCTGGTATTCCAAAGCGGTCACCCATCTAGGTACTGATCAGGTTCGACGTTGCTTAACTTCGGTGATCTTTCCTGTACAGAAATGGTTAATCTCACCATTACTTTTACCATTGCGCGATAGACAACTGAAGATATTGAAACAATGGCAGTTTTGTCTTGGCTTAGGTAAACGATTTACTTGCCGTGTTGAGTGTTTGATAACAATAGAAAGCTGATAAAGATATATAGAATATCAATTTCGAGAGCAAATAAGGGAAAAAGCAGAGAAATAAAAAGAAACAAAAAAGGTTACAGTAGCTGAAATATCATCTTGAATTTTATTATTCGATAAAGCATTGTCAGCTATTATGAATCTTTTAGCTTTTCCGTTGCTTTATTTACATTAGCAATATTCATAGCAATATAATACAAACCGGTGGAGTAATGGATAGCAGCTCGGATTGAGGAATCGGAGAGCCGAGTTCGAACTCGCGTCGAATCCATTACATTCACTTACGTACTAATACCCTTGGGAAAGGTATGAATCCTCTTCTCCACTTAGCAGATAAATAGCAGGACGGACCTGGTTCTATAGCCTTGGATAGCAACTGATCTACTGCAGAAAGAAATGGCGACATACTGCGGGAAAAAATCTGCCTAGTCAGTCATGGATCGCCTAAGCGTGTATACCTAACTGACGGACTGCATATAACCGAGATATATTTTAGCTGATGCATTTTCAACTATTATTTCTTCTCAACCATTACTTCTTAATTTCACTTAATTTATTTACGCGAGTACCACTTATAGTACTATTAGTTTGGATTTTTATTAGATGAAGTATTTTAATTTACACTATTTACACTGTTCGAACTGTTGTCATCATCTTTGTTGCCATATTCACGACGTCTTAGCCGTTGTACACTCCGGCTTTCTTCAGGTGATTAGAATTTCGAACCGAACATTTTATAGTTTGTTCTAGTTCCACGTGTCTTGCCTCTTCCGGATATCTCAGTATCAGTTATCTCCCTTTAACTCAACTCTCTCTGCTGTAGTCAGGTATTGAACTCACAACTCTTTGGGTCAAGTCACATGATTCAACCAACGTTTTTATCTACTGGGCCATTCTTGCAAAATCAAATAATTGTCGGATTTTAATGAAACTTTCGGAACTTATTCACAAATGAATTCAGTTATTTTAAAAATGTTTTTTTTTTTTTAGAAAATCTCGGTAAAAAGATATTTTTTACATAAGTTAAACTCCACTTATTTAATTTTATGAATACTCGAGAAATTCAACGAGATAATTTTTAATGACTATATTAGTTAAAAGCAGTACTCATTAGAGAGTTTAAATCGCCAATTTCTTTTATTTTTTTTTTTTTGTAAAATAGGATTCTGTCTTATCGAAAATTTGCTCTGAGTCGTAAAATAATAAAAAATGCAATAAAACTAAGACATTATTTAATTAGAAAATTGCTTTTATGAATAAGATATATTAAAGACATTATTGTCATAAGAAAAAAAATTCGATGAATAATAAATTTTTACAAGATTTATTTTCATTTAAGAAAATATAATTAGAATAATTTATAAAGTTTTTAAATCTTTTAAAATTCAGTTTCAATGGTGTAAAGGTTAGGGAATATTGTTAAGTAAAAATTATATTTACTAATCATAAATCGAAAACCTTATTACAATTTAAGGTCACCCAGTATTGTAAAAAAGCATTTTGAATTTTTTGTATGTGTATAAACGTTTCGATTTTTGTACATACGGTTGTTCATACGCGACATTATCAGAAAATAAGAGCGGTAACTATAGTTACTTTAAAGTCAAAGTATCTAAGATTCGATAAAACATTAGATTACGGAGAATATTTTTCTAAATATTTAAGATTACTGAGTACTTAAAAATTATATAAAAAAGGTGCTAACATTATATTCTTCAAATATTTTA